GTATTGACGTAAGCTCCCTCGCTGTTTTTGTTTTCTTCCCTCCGTCGTGTGTGTGTGTGTGTGTGTGTGTCTTTTTTTGGTTTTGTTTCCCCCCTCCCCTCCTCCTCCAGCTGTTTGTGGGGTGGTCGCTTGCTTCCCTGCACAGCTGCCGTCACCCAGCTGCGCACCGCTTCTCCGCGTGGGTGGGGAGGGGTGTGATGTCCGTCGGCGGACGGCTGGTTTCCTCCCTGCTCCATCTTTTCGTTGCTGGCGGCGTCGCGGTGTCGGATGGGGGGCGGGCAGTGCAGAACCCCGGGTTGCGGCGGAAGCGAAGCCAAAGGAAGGCACACACATTTGTCTACCTGGTATTTATATATATATATAAAGGAAGGGGAAGGAGGAAACAAAATGCGCAGGCCGTTCATTTTTTGCCTCCTCAGTGCCTCTCGAGGAGCCGCTGCCGTCCTGCTGGATCGCCGAAGCGCATGCCGCCATCAGCGCCGCTTCTGGCAGACGCTGCCACCAGACGCCCATGTCGTCGCCCCCCGCACAGCCGCAGCAGGTGAGAACATGCCGAGACTCTACGCGGACGAGGCGAACTCCTTGACGTTGAGTGGTGGGGAACCGCTTGCTTTTGTTACCGACTCCGGCCGGGCACCCAGTAGCTCGACCTTCAGCAGCTACGACCCCTCTCTCCTTGCCGAGGACGCCATGACGCGGAGCCCTGCTGGGCGCCTGGCAGAGGCCCAGCAAATGACGGCAGGGGACGAACTGCAACCGACGCTTGCGGCGATCGCAGCTGATGCTGTTGCTGCTGCCGCAACGGTGACTGCCGCTGTGGACAATTCTACAGTTGAGGCCCCACCAGCCGTCTCTCGGCAGCCGCCCGCGGTGCTGCAGCATCAATACCGTCGGGCCGACCCTACTCCTGCTTCGCGCCGGGTTTCTGTGAGGGGTGGGGGCGACGCCGCAGAGGGCGGTGCGGGCAGTGGCGAGCAGCAGACGGCCATAGACGAGGGAAGGCAACCGGATGCGGGGAGGGAAGACGAGGAGCAAGAAGGGGAAAAGCACGCACATGAGGAAAGGGTTAAAGCTGCTGCGCCCAGTACCCATGCAAGCGAAGGCGAGGTGCGTGTTTTTGTGCGGGACCACATGCGCAACACCGTCAGCGTGGGGCGTCTTCGCGCCTTTGCGGAGCTTGAGGGCAGGCTGCCGTGGTGGCTGCTGCACGGCATCCAGCAGTCAGGGTTTGTCATACCGACCGTTGTGCAGTCCGTGGCGATTCCGCTTTTTATGCAGCGGCGCGATGTGGTTGGCATTGCCCCCACCGGGAGCGGCAAGACGGTGGCGTTCGCACTGCCAGCCCTTGCCGCCCTCGCGGCACTGCCGTCACCGAGTCACAGTGGATGCGGCGCGAGCAACAACAACCACGGCGGCGGTGTGGAGGATGCAGTGACGGTGAACCCGCGCGTGCTGGTGCTCTGCCCCACGCGGGAGCTGGTGCAGCAAACGCGGAGTGTTTTTTCGCACCTGGCTGGTAATGCCGTGCGTGTGAAGGGGGCCTTCGGTGGGCAGGATCGAGAGCAGCAGCTGGAGTTCCTGCGGCGGTGGGGCGGGTGCGACGTCCTTCTCTCCACTCCAGGGCGCCTCTGCGACTTTGTGGAGGCCGGTGCCGTGAGCCTCGGGCAGGTCGACTTTCTCATCATGGACGAGGCGGACCGCATGCTGGAGCTCGGCTTTGCCCCACAGCTGGAGTTTATCATGTCAAGCATCCGCAAGTTCAAGCGGCCGCGGCAAACGACGATGTGGACGGCGACGTGGAACGCCATCGTGGGTGGTTTGGCCGCACGCTTTCTCAGGCCGGAGCGCGTCCTCCTCGAGGTGGACCGCGAGCACAAGCTGAACACGGACATCACGCAGCAGCTGTACGCCCTGCAGGATCCCTCGCAGCGCATCCACGCCGTCGTGCGGCTCTACCAGGAGGCCGTCATCTCGAAGCGGCAGCAGGTCCTCATTTTTGTCAACCGCAAGGAGGAGGTCGAGAAAATCGCCGAGGACCTCACGACGGCGCTGCGGGCGCCCCCGGAGTTGGTGCGGTGCCTGCACGGGGGCATGAAGCAGCGCCGGCGCGAGAGCATCATCCACGGTTTCAGGGAGGGCAGCATTCGTATCCTCTGCGCGACGGACGTTGCGGCCCGCGGCCTCGACGTGCCGGAGCTCGACCACGTCATCAACTACGACCTTCCCGGGGACGCCGACGCGTACGTGCACCGCGTCGGCCGCACCGGCCGCGCCGGGCGTCGCGGCACGGCACACACGTTTATTATTGCCGGGGACAGCCGGGCCCCGCTTATCGCCCGCTTCATCGCAAAGCAGCAGGGCACCGCCTTGCCGGACGAGGTACTCGCAATCATTCGCGACGTTGAGCTCCACGGCGGAGTGGCGGCGGGGCGACAAAAGTACAAAAGTCACGCCCGCGTCGCCGGCAAGGACTGGCGCGGGTCTGGCGGTGCGGCGTCGACGATGGCGGAAGGCAGTCGATATGTGCGAGGCGTCGGCCACGTCACGACTCTCAGGCGGCCCACCCCGCGCAAGCAGAGTTAGCCGCTGCCAACTGCCGCTTATGCCTGCACCCCTGCGTAGTCCTCTCTTTCTGTGTGTGTGCGTGTGTGTGTGCACAAGTGAGCAATGGGCTGCTTTCATTGGCTGCGCGAGGGCCACGCTGGCGGTGCCGCAGCCAATGTTTACGTCCAACGGGTGTGTGTGTGTGTGGAATTTACTTGGCAGGCTGTGTTTGGTTGCTGGCGTTGTTTGGATTGCCTGGCGGAGTCCGGCGTTTTGCCTTGCCGCCTGCTTCGCTGGCTCTTTTCCCTCCCCTCGCCGCCGCCGCTGCCGCCGCTGGCTGCGCGTGCGTTTGTCCCTGCAGCGCCACGGACGGCCCACGCGCCTTCTCCCTTGTTTTCTTTTTTTTTGTGTTTCTCTCCTCCCTCTCTGCCGTCGCGAGGAGCCGAGCCGAGAGGAGCATCACCAAGCAAGCGCCAAGACAAGACAAGACCAAAGAAGAAAAAAATCGAAAACCCCAACAGCAGGGGAGGAAGTAAAGCGAAAGCAAATCGTGGCTTGGGGAGGGGTGGGGCGGAGGCAGGCGTAAACGGCGCACGCCCCCCCTCACACACTTGCACGGGCCTTTGATACATATCTGCACACACACACACACACAGAGAGAGAGGGAGAGAGTGAGAGGGCCTTTGGTCCACGCCGGTAGAAGCGGGTGGTGCCGGCAGCGGGAGATTTCTGCCGACGCTGCCTAGTAAGGAGCACACGCACTCACGCACGCACACAGAAACAAACCAAAACTGAAGGAGATAAGACAAAAAAAAAAAACGAACGCGCGCGTGGCTAAAGCGAAACTTTAAGTCGAAAACGAAGTACATAAATAAACCTCACACCCACCTCCACCTCAAACACATTACAAACGTACTAAGAAAAGGGGGAAGCAAGAAGCAAGGGGAAACAAAAAAAAATTGAGCAGAAAAGGTAAGAGACAGTGCAATCAGTGATGTCAGAGCGTCTACAGGGGCAGTTTCGAGATGTGATGGTCCTTCAACAAAATGAGCACGTAGTGGAGAACAGGGATAGCGGGTTGGTAGTAGCGGACAGCCACACGCAGCCGGTTGCGCCCCCCTTCACTAGTTCCCCTTCTGCGGCGGCTGCGGAGGATGCGGCAAACACCGAGGATGATGAGCGGGAGTTGATTCGGTTGCTGGATGAATTGAACCATAGAATACACCAGGAGGACGAAGCCGACACCCTTGAACGGTCTCATCGCGGCTTTGTGGTGGAGGAGAAGGAAATCCCCAGCCTGCACGCAAGCCACGCGGCACCGCCCGTTTACGGCTCACCAGCGCCAACCGGAGGCAGTCCCTTTTTGTATGCGTCAAGTGTCTCACGCGCCGCAAAGCCACCGCCACCGTCCTTTGCGGAGGCGGTGGCCACGTCCCCGCCCCTTTCCGCGGTGCCGATGGAGCTGTCTCCGTTGGCGGCGCATTACGTTCCCCCAATGACCGCAGCGCAGAAGGACACGATTCTGCTGCGCAACACGCACGGTGTGTTTATGCTGCGTCCCATTTCAAAACCGACGCCGCCGTACACGCCGCCAAGCCTCGCCTCATCGATCTCCCCGCCCCCGCGCTACGCGTTGCCACCGGAGGCGCAATCGCAATCGCAGCCCCATTTTCTTGGAAGCTCCATGGCGCAGGTGGGCGGGATCGCCGACGCGTACCCGGCGAAGAACCCCGCCGGCACCCCCTACGACGCCCCCCACCCCATGAACAACGTCATCGGCGGAAGTCACATTTTGGGCGGCGGCTGCGCCGGCACCTACACGTACATAAGCACCTCAGTCAAGTCTAAGCCAACTGGGCACAAGCCACCGCCTCCACCGTACCCCTCGTAATAGAGCAAAGGCACTCCTCCGCCCCACGAATAAACGAGAGGGAACGAGATGAATAACGAGAAAAAGAGGTAGCGAGAAAAAGCGAGACCGCGAGCCGGGCGGGGAGGCGACGTTTGCCAACGGCGCAACAAAAGCAGCCAGGCGTCTACTCCCTCTGTGATCCAGTTTCGCCTGAGCTGCTCCCACGTGGAAAATTGGGAGAAGGCATAGGAGGTGGAGTTTTTCGGTATTAACTGCTATTGCATTATTATTTTCTCGGCCTGACTTGTCGTGGGTCACAGAGTGAAACAAGTGAATAACCGCAACCGCACGGTAAAATGAGCGGGCGGACGCAAATATATATATATATATATATATATATATAATATGTAGCGAGAGAGAGAGAGAAGGAAGAAGGCCACAAGAGGGTGAACGGCAGTGGATGCGCTCAGTAGAAGGGAGGGGGGGGGAATAACATTTAAAAGGAAGTAATAACTTCGAAATGATGCACTCACGCACGCACAAGAAGAAGAAAGCCTGAATGGCGACAGAGCACGAGGGTGTGGGTGTGTATAGAGCAAGTTGTTAACAGCTTCACCAGAGCCTTCGCTTCGGCGCCGCTACTGGGGGCTGGCTGCAATTTGGATTATGTATTGCGTGTGTTTTTTTTAATTTTCATTCACTTCGACTGTGTGCTTCCCTTTTGTTGCCCTTCTTCCTCTGTTTTGTTGGGGGAGACCAAGCGAGAGACCCTTCGAGAGAAAAGATAAAACGGAAAAACGAGAAGTAAAGAATAACGAGGAGGAGGTGGTGGTGGGCGGGGTGTGTCTACACGCAAGGCCCTCCCGGACCTCCTTCTCAGTGTGTGTATGTGTGTATATGTATGTTTATGTTTATGTTTATGTGGACGCAGGCATTTCTTGCGGGGTCCCCCTTTTTCTTCGTGTGCTGCCCCGCCATCCTTGCCGCCACCGCCGCCGCCGCTGCTTCTGTTTGCGGCCGTTGCGGGGAAGGTGTTGCTTGCCTCTTTTCTCCCTTGCGCACACACGGCTAGTTCCAGCAGCCTCTCGTGGATCGAAGGTATCGCTGTTGTTATTGTTGTTGTTGTTGTTGTTTTGTTGTTTTGTTTTTCTTTTTTACACCTCCTTGTTTTAAAGTACCTTACTTTGTCATACTTTATTTTCTCACACCTTCTATGCGTGTTGTTGGATCCCCGTCACTTTACATTTTTCTCCCTCGGCATGCGCTTGCCCCCCCGTCGTTGTTTTAATTACCTGGACCTTCTCTTCTCCTCCACCGCCCGCCGCGCACGCGGAAGGAGAGGGGGGCAGGAGCACGTCGTCGTGGGCGGGGGCCCGCAGTGCGTGATGGTAACGTGCGCAGGCGCGTGCGTGCGTGTCTGCCGTTGTATTTATTCCGTGGCACTGAGTGTCAAACTGTGCTCGCGGCATCCGCGGCGTGATGGTTCATGTCGCTTTCTCTTTGGTGTGTTTGTGTGCAAGAGAGAGAGAGAGATAGATAGATATGGATAGCTAGCTTGAGGAAGAGTGTGTGTGCGCCTCCTTCAGCCTTCCTCGTTACTGCTGTATTTTGTCTCGTCCATTTCCTTTTCTCTTTCTCTCTCTTTGTGTGTGTGTGTGTGTGTGTGGGCGCAGCTCAACCAGCTGGCCCTCGGCTCACGAGCGTCTGGGCACTGGGATCTTAACCTACGACGTGAGTTCAACGCAAAAAGGCGACTCTTTCGTGCAGGCTTAGTACTCCTTCTCTGTGAGGGCTGGTCCGCGTGGGGTAGCACGCAGGCACGCGCGAGGCAGGAGGGAGACAAACAAAGGGCAAAGAAGAGGGTGTAGGGTCCGGCGCCACTTGGGGTGTGTGTGCGTTCGCGCTATTATTATTGTTTTTTCCTCTTCCTATTGGCCGCATTTGTCTCACACGTGCGCATGCCGGTGACTCAGAAGCAAGGCGGCAGCTTGGCGCCCGTGAACCAACCCCGCTTGTTCAGCCGCAGCAGCTCCAGCGGGGGCCTTGGGGCGGGCGCGAATTTGTCGCGGAATTGCTTCCCCCTGCGCAGCAGTCTTATGCGCACCCCGCCAAGTCGGCCACACCACCCTTCCTACTCGTTTGCGAGCGCGGGCGGCGGGGAGGGAAGGCTCTCGCCGCACCCGGCGCCGTTTGACGCCTACCCTATTCCTCCCTCTGGCGGAGTGCTCGAGCGGCTGCATAGCAGCCGCCGCGGGTTTGGGTCCCGCAGCGAGGACTCGCTGCCGGTCTTGGACCTCGAGAGCGTGGCGAGCGAGGCGGCGGCGGCGGCGCACGCGATGCCGCGTGGGGAGTTAGAAGTTGCAGTGAAGGAGCTTGACACGGAGAACCTCATGCTGCAGCGGACCGTCCTGCGCAGTCGCGAGGAACTGGCGAGGCTGCAGGATGGGATGCGGGAAACGTATGAGACGGCCGAGAAGGAGGGTGAGAGCATCGTCAATCACCTCACCCGCCGCCTAAATGCCGTGCAGCACAAGAAGGAGCAGCTGGAGGCGCAGCTGCGCAGCGAGGAGGCGAGGAAGGCGGAGCAGGAGCAAAAGCTGCTCACCCTCAAACTGAGCAGTTACAAGTTGTCGAGGCGCGTGCAGCACGAGGAGGAGGAGGCGCTGAAAAAGTTGACCGATCAGCTGCAGCAGCTGCAAGTGCAACGGCAAGGTCTTGAGAGCCTCCTCTCAGAGCAGTCCTCCTCGCTGCAGCAGCTACAGGAACTCGTGGAAGGTCTACAAACTTCGACGGGCTGCAGCCCTGATCCTTCCTTGGCGCATGCAGGAGGCGCGGAGGCGGGTGGGGGCGCAAAGCCCACCAGCGTCGAGGCGGCGGCATCGGGCGAGCAGATCTCGTCGCAGAGTGGCACTGGCGAGCACGCAGATCCAGCGAGCGACCCGCAGGAGATGCTTCAGTACCTCAAACATGAAGTCTCTTTTGTAGAGCGACTACAACGTGACGCCTTCGAGCGGGGAGAACGGTACAGGCTGAGGCGCCTGGAGCTTGAACAGCGAATCTCGTGTGCAGAACGCGAACGTCGCTGCAACCGTCACTCATTAGAGGGAATTCATCAGGAACTGGTGGAGACCACTGCCACCGCGTCGGAATTGGCCTCCGCGGCGGAGATAGCGAGGGAGGTGATGATTGACCGTCAGATCCATGCCCGTAGTCGCACGGGCTCCCTCACCAGTGGCAGCCATGGCTTTGAGACGCCGAAGCGCGTTGCGGAGTTAGCGAGGGATCTGACCACGGGGTCTGGGCAGCTGCAGTCGAGTCCCGCCTCCTCGCAGAAGTAACCGTGCGTAGTTATATATATGCGTGTATGTAGGTATAGCCGTATGTGGGCGTGCGTGCGTGGCTTGTCTTTCTATGCTGTTCTGTTGGATTGGTTGAGGTTGCTCGTATGGTGTGCGTGCTCCCGTTCATGCTTTTGCCGGCCAAAGTCAGAAGTTCCGCCCCCGCGAAGCGAGTGCCTCTCGTGCATTCAAAGTGAGTGAAGAAGGAAGAGGTAGTAGTGCGAACTAATTTCTTTAAAAAAAGCGACGAAGGGAAAGAGAAACTTGTGTGTGTGGGGGGGAGAGAATAATGTGTGTCTGTGTCTGAGAAAGAGTGAGAGAGGAAGAGGGAGAGGAAGGGAGGCGGTGTGGTGCAGAGGGGAGTGAAACGGGGGGGCGGACCATGTAGACCCGCAGGGGAGGGTCGTCCGTTGATTATATTTTTGTTTTTGTGTGTGGCTTCTGTTGTCGCGCGTGGGCGCCTTAAGGAGGAGGGGGAGAGAGAGCGCGCGAGCGAGAGATTTGTGGACGCGTCTGACTTCGCCCCACACACACCACGGCCACCTCCCACTCCCCGCTTCTTGCCACTTTGCGTGGCGTTCGAGCTTCCGTGTATGCCGGCTTCTCTTCTTTTTTTTTCTTCTTTTTTTTTCTTCCCTTTTTCTTTGCTTCTCCCCCCTCCCCGCCCACTCCACATTGACTTTCGTTGTTGCCTTGTGCGGCGCCTGTGCGTGTGTGTGGGCTTGTGCTTCTGCTGCTCCTTTGCGCCGCCCCGCCCGCTCTATTTCTCTCTCTCTTTTTTTTTTTTCCTCGCCGCGCTGCCTGGGGGGAGGCGCAGGTGGCACTGCGAAGGCGGGTGGTGTGAACTTCGTTTGCCCCCGTGGTGTTGGCTTTTCCTGCGGTATGTGGGGGATGAAGGGCTTCTTCGCGCGGAGCCGGGGGACGCGGCGGCCGTGCCTCAGCCTCGTCTTCGCGCTGCTCTGCGTGGTTGTCGTGGTGGCGGTGTACCTCACGGCGTACAGCGTCGGCCGGGTGTCGATGGTCACGCGCGGGCAGGAGAAGCTGGAGCTCACCGCCCGCATCGTCGGCTCGATGGCGGAGCGCTTCCGCGACTGCGAGGCGCGGCGGCAGCGGCTGAGCAGCGGCGAGGCGACCGCGCGGGCGGCGCTCGAGATCGCCCGGGACACCCAGGCGAAGCTGGAGGCGGAGCTCGAGCTCTTCCGCAGCCGCAACGTCCTCAGCCTGCGCTCCGTGGCGGAGTGCAGGCGGGAGCTGGAGGCGCTGCGGGAGAAGGGGGTTGGCGCGCTGCTGCTGGCGCGGCTCCTCGACCGCCTCGCGGAGGAGCAGCGGGTCTACCGCGGCATCGTCGCCCTCGTCAACGCGAGCAGCGGGGCAGGGCGGTGGCAGACGGCCGACCTCCGCGCGGCCACCGCAAAGGAGGTCGGCAGGTGGGAGGCCGCCGCCCGCGACAAGGCGGAGGTTGCGAAGAGGTGCAACAACGCGATGCAGCGCTACAGTGTCGTGTTCGACGCCGGAAGCACCGGCAGCCGCGTGCACGTGTTCCGCTACAGCTTGCTCTCCAACCCGCACGCCGGCGAGTTCGTCGCGCACGCCAGGCGGCCCTCGCTGTTCCCCTTCCTGCGGCTCGAAGACGAGCTCTTCGTCGAGAACCACGAGCCCCTGTCTGGGTTTGCCAGCGCCACCGCCGCTGCCGCCTCACTCCTGCCCCTGCTGGACGCCGCCAAGTCGTACGTCCCGGCGTCGCTGCACGCGTGTGTGCCGCTTGAGCTGAAGGCAACAGCCGGGCTCCGACGCATCGGACGCGAGCGGGCACAGGCCGTGCTCCACGCCGTCCGTCGCGTCTTTGAGCGTGGGCCGTTTTGGTTGCAGTCGGAGTTGAACTCCGTGCGCATTCTTGAGGGGAGGGAGGAGGGGCCGCTCGCGTGGCTCACCGTGAATTATCTTCTCGGCACCCTCCACGGTGACGCCAAGACGGCCACCATCGTCGACCTGGGCGGGGGATCGACGCAGATCGTCATGCACCCTGGCGACGCCAAGGTACTGAGCGCGTATGCAGAATTCTCGCACGCGCTTAACGTGAGTGGTCGCTCGATTCTGGTGTACCAGCACAGCTACGAGGGCAATGGATTACATGCGGCGAAGGAGCAGCTGCTTCAGGCGGTGGCGGCCAACGCGGCGGGCGAGAGCACCGTCGCACATGCGGCGAGCACCACCAACAAGACGGGCATAAATAATGGGCTCAACGCGTCGACTGCCATCGTGCACGACGCATTTCCTTGCTTCCCAAAAGGGTACGTTCACAGGGAAAGCGGCATCTCCAACACGCGGGATGGCGGCCAGGCGCCGTCGATGCAGGCCTGCTCGGACTTTTTCCGCCGTCACGTGGTGCGGAAGCATGAACCGTGCGGCGGGGATTCCTGCGGGTTTAACGGTGTCTTTCAGCCGAACGTCACCATTGCATCAACGGGCCCATTGTACGCCTTCTCGTTTTACTACGACCGCCTGAAGCCTCATATCAAAGACGAGGTCATACTTGTGCAGGATGTCTTTGAAATCGCCACTCGCGTGTGCCGTTCCATGAAGTCCTTGCAAGAGCTTTCTGCAACGAACGAAGCGGCGAAAAAAGCGGGGTCGCTGAAGCCCGAGATGGAGTGTTTTGAGCTTTCCTACCTCTTTACGCTGCTGCATCACGGGTTTGGATTTCCGCTGGAGCAGCGGCTGCACATTGCGAAGAAAATCAATGGATTTGAGACCGCCTGGGCGCTTGGTGCCTCCCTAGTCACCCTGGAAGGCCAGTCCGCTTAATGGGCTACGGACCCCTCCTTAACATATATATATATATATATATATTAATTGCATTTCTGTGTATACGCGCGTCTGCTCTCGTGCGTGGCCTGAATGTTGTTTTCTTGCTGCGGGCGGGGCTGAGCACAACGGGGGACGTGCGAAAGGAGGAGGAGGAGGATGATGGGCGAGCCCTGAAACGGGGGGCTGTTCGACGAGGGTTAAAGCTGCGCAACAGCGTTTTTTTTTTTTTGCTTGTGTATGTGTGTGTGTGTGTTTCTTCTGTACGCGTGCTTGGTTAATCTAAGTTCACTTCGCATTGCTTTCCTTGTAGATATGGATATATATTTGTGTATGTGTGTGTGTGTATGTGTATATTACTGCTGTTGTGACGATTATTATTGCTGTTGCTATTGTCGTTGTTGTGTGTTGCTGCCGACGATGATGGGCCGTCGCTGCTTCGCTTCCGGGTAGGCTTCGTAGCGCGTAGCAGGCAGAGAGGAAGAGCTGGGGGGTGGTCGCCGCCGCCGCCGTACGCACACAAACCATAAACACTCCCTACGGAGAAGCGAACTAAATAAAGCAACAGCGACGGTAAGCGCTCCAAATGGCCGATGCGGAGGAGCGCTTTTTGGACGCCGTGCAGCAGGCCTACGACAACAAGGCCCTTACGCTTTACTTCAGCTACCAGGATGACTTTGTCGCCATCCCGGCGGCCATAAAGGCGCTTCGTGAGACGCTCGAGGTGCTGCATGTGGACAACAGCTACTCCCTCACCACGCTGCCTCCCGCGATAGGCGACCTCGGCCGGCTCCGCTGGCTCAATGCGAGCTACTGCCGGCTGGTGTCGCTCCCGCTGGAGCTTGGGCGCCTCTCGCACCTGGAGCGCCTGTACCTGAGCAACAACCTGCTGCAGTCGGTGCCGATGGAGCTGTGGCAGCTGAAGAGCCTTCAGGAGTTGCGCCTGGAGAACAACAAGCTCAGCGTGCTTCCCGGCGGCATTCTCTTCCTGCCGCGACTGGAGAGCTTGACGCTGGAGAACAACCCGCTGCTGCAGCCAGAGGATGTCGCGGGTGCGGCCCCGTCGACGCTTGTCTCGCCGTTCAGGTCCGTCGACTGCTCCAACTGCTGCGTGCGGATGCGGGACTATGAGGTGCTGATCACGTTTCACAGCATCGCCGCACTGCGTTCGGTTCCCTTCATGCACTGCCTTTGCTCAGCGGCGTGCAGGCAGCACCTGGAGGCGCGTTTAGCGGAGTACGACGCGTCACACTCCCCTCCGGAAGCAACGTCCTCGTCGGCGTAAGCGCAGCGCACCGGGGGGGGGGGCCGTTCCTGATGTAAGTGACTGGGACCAGCGTTTGCCTTTCTTGACCGGCCACATATGTAATTACGTTTTGCTCTCCGTCACTCCCGCTGCCTCCCCAGGGTGGAGGGAAGCATGAAGGGGGTAGGGGGAGGAACAGAAAGGGCAGGAAAAACAAAAACAAAAAGGCAAAATAAAAAAAAGAACTCGTGGGGCCGGGACCCTGCCATCGATGTGTTTGTATCTTCTGCTTCCCTCGCGTGGCCCCCACATCGGATGTGTTTTGGCGTTTGGTCATCTCCCGGTGTTTTCCGCCTCCTCTGCGGCTGCTCGCACCGCTGGTGCTGCCTTGCCTGCTGTGGCCCCCCTGCCCCCTCTTCCGCTTCCTCCTCCTCTACTGTGTATTCTTTTTTCTTTGTTCTTGTTGTTTTGGTTCACTGAACTGGGCGTGGCATCGTTTGGCAGTGACTCGGTAGCACACACGCACAGAGACACATACCCGCAGTGTATTTTGCTGCCGGGAAGTTGCGAGGGGGCAGAGGCGGAATTTTAACCAACAATAAAAAAAAAGGGGGCCCAAGCAGAAGGAAGGAGCGAAGCAAAAGAAGAAAAAGACGATGGAGTTGGACGAGTTGCTGGAGGACAAGCCGACAGCCGCAGACCCGTTAGACATCGACGACGTCCTCGAGGGACCGCCGGCCGCCGCGGATCAGGTTGTTTTGAACGTGCCGAAGCCGCGCCGCCCGCCGGCACGAGGCCCGCCGCCGCCGCGCGTGCACGAGGTGCGGCTCCCGCACTTCCGGGACCCCCCGCCGCACGTGAAGCCGTACGTGACGAACGCGTGCTACTACGCCAACCAAATCGCCCTTATCACCCGCGAGGGGGCTCGCGAGAAGCGGGGGATTGTGGTGAACGACAGCAACATCTACATCATGGGCGACGGGGCGCGGGTGGAGCAGACGATCCCGCTCACGCAGGTGGAGGCGATGCTCATGCAGGACGTCCTGACGCCGAAGCCCCTCGGGATTTCGAAGGAGTGGCAGACGCATGTTATTTTGCAGCTGCGGGAGTCCCCGGACCTCTTCTTTGCGCTTGCCGACGACAAGAAGCACGACCCGGCGACAGGGGCCACCTACGGCGACAGGATTCCCGAGCTGGAGGCAGTCCTGGCGGAGCTGCTGCGGGCGTACGAGGTCGACCTCCTCGTCTGCAGCCTCACGGAGGAGGAGTCGCTGCAGCACCTCCTCAAGCGGACCGTGACGGACGTGGGGATGCGGCGCGAGTGCGGTGAAGTACTCGCCTACCGCACGGTCCTCACAGCCGCACTGAAGGGGTTGCTGAAGCAGGACGCCCGGATTGTTGAGCAGCGCAACAAAATTGAGGCATCGGGCGCCTCGCATAATGTCACGTCCCTGCTGAAGGAAATTGAACTGATTGAGGGCAAGAACGAGGTGATGGCGTCGGCGCTGGATCAGGCAAGCGCCTCGCTTAACCGGTGCCAGTCAAAGGCGCGCGAGCTGCGTGTGTTGCTGGACGTCAAAGAGAAGGAGATCCAGGCGGAGGTGGGCACGCGGCTCGCGGCGCAGCAGGGCGAAATCATCGCGAGGCAGGCGCTGGAGTACGAACTCATGACGGTCGCCCACCAGACGGAGATGCGGCACCTCAGTCTTCTGCGCGACTTCCTGCAGGCCTCCCTCGCGCGCTGCCGCAAGTCCCCCGTCGTCGCCGTTGCCGAGCTGGAGGCGGAGCTCGCGGAGCTGCAGCGGCTGAAGCGGGCGACGCTCCTTCGGAAGGGCGAGACGACGGCGAAGCTGGCCGAGGCGAGGCGCTCCCTCATCGCCGCGAAGGCGGCGCTGCAGCAGGCGACGGAGGAAGTGGCTGTGCTGCGGCAGCTGCCGCCGGGAGAGCCCGTTCCGCCCAACTTTAACCGCGAGCTGGCGCCGACATTTCTTCCGGTGCGCCTCGCGCAAGACCGGCTGGAGAACCAGAGCGCGGGCGCCGAAGTGAACGTCGCGTCGCACGGCAACATGCACGCCCGCGGCGCCAAAGCGACGGCGCTGGTGCTCCCCGACGACGAGGACGACGATATCGACCTTGTGCCGCTGCGAAGGCGACGGCCGCCGGATAACGCCCACCCCAACGTCCTGGTGGATGAAGACGATTTGTAGGAAACGTAAGACGGACACGCAGGGCGAAGGGAGCAAGTGGGGGGGAGGGGTGGAAGGTAAACGATATTTCTCAGTACATATGTCTTTTTTTTTCTTCTGATTATCGACTCTTAGCTTTATTTTCATTTTATTTTTTACTATTTCTTTTGCATATATGCACTTCCGCCTGTGTCTTTTCTCGTTGGTTGTTGTTGTTTTTTTTCCGGAGGAGTACTTGCCACACGCTCCTCTCTGCTTCGCCGCCATTCCAAATGCTGCTGGGCGGCCACTGCGCAACTGCTGCTGGGCGGCCACTGCGCAACTGCTGCTGGTGTCCTTTTGTGTGTGTGTGTGTGGGTCCGTCTGCAGTTGTCGGTATTGTTTTTATTTTATATTTATTTTTTGTTTATTTTCTCCCGTGCCTTGCCTTTTGCCTGCGGCAGCCGTGGCACCTGCGTGGGAGAGATTACGATGCCTGCGAAGAGGAAGTCCGACAAGCGGGATGAGCCGCCCTTCGTGGAGGAGGAGGGGAGTTACGTGCACGAGGAGGAGTCGGCGCGGTACGTTGGCGGGGTGCGGCGGGCGACGGAGGGCAACTTCCGCTGCCGCCACGGCCGCGGCGTGTTTAAGAGCCCCGTGATCCGCTACGACGGCGACTGGCACGAGGATGAGATGCACGGCAGCGGCGAGCTGCGGTTTCTCGCCACCGGCGACGTGTACCGCGGCCAGTTTGCGCACGGCGTGTTTGAGGGGGTGGGGACGTACACGTGGGCCTCGGGAGCCTCCTACGAGGGCGCCTGGCGGTCCAACCGCATGCACGGGCTCGGCACGTACACCGACGTGAATGGCACGGTGTGGAGCGGCAAGTTCTACAACGGCACCGGCCCCGGCCTCAACCCCTTCTCGGGGGGCACATGTATAGGCAGGACCACCGCCGCGGCGGCGGCGGCCGAAGGCGAAGAAGAGGCGGGGGCGCCAGCAACCGCCGCCGCGTGAGGCGGGGGCGGCTGCGTGTGTGGCATGTGACTTGAGTGCAGTGCGTGAGGGGGGCGGAGTCGTGTCGTTTGCCGCGGCGGCTGCTGCTGCTGCCGTCGCTGCCTGCATCTCCCTCTGGCTGTCGCAATTGTGTTTATTTGCTTTGCTTTTCACTTTCCCACCCGCCGTGGCGAGCGGGGCGGCGCAAGAAGAGGAGGGCCGCGCCAACAGAGGGAGAAGTAGGTAGGAGGCACAAGGAGCATAAAAGTGGCGAAGGCGCACGGGACGGAAGCGGGGGGGGCGGGATCGGCGGGCGACCAAAGCGGCAAACGCAAAAAGTGGCAGAACGGGGCGCGCTCCGCTCACGGCGCACACGCACGCACAGAAGCGTGACGAGGGACGAGGCGGCGGTAGGGCGGTGGCGGGCACAGTTTCTGCGCTGAGCGATGACTTCCATGGGCGAGGCCGTCATGCGCGACCTCATAGCGGAGCTGGAGGAGATGCACTCCCACTACACGGTGCAGCGCTTCATCAGCAGCGGCAGCTACGGTGCCGTCTGCGCCGGCGTGGATGAGAACGACTGCGCGGTGGCGATTAAGCGCGTGTTCAACACCGTCTCTGACGGCCGCACGGTGAACATCCTCTCCGACCCGTTTCTCTGCAAGCGGGTGCTGCGGGAGATCATGCTGCTCAACCACTTCCACCACCCGAACATCCTTGGCCTGAAGAACATCTTTATTCACCTGCAGCCGCCGAGCCAGCACAAGCTGTACCTCGTGACGGAGCTCATGCGCACCGACCTGGCGCAGGTGATCCACGACAAGCGCATCCGCATCTCCCCGCAGCACACTCAGTTCTTCATGTACCACATTCTGCTTGGGCTGCACGTGCTGCACCAGGCGGGCGTCGTGCACCGCGACCTTCACCCCGGCAACGTGCTGGTGGCGGAGAACAACGACGTTGCCATCTGCGACTTCAACCTCGCCCGCGAGGACACGCAGGACCAGAACAAGACGCACTACGTCACACACCGCTGGTACCGCGCGCCGGAGCTTGTGATGCAGTTCAAGGGCTTCACAAAGCTGGTGGATATCTGGTCCGCCGGCTGCGTGATGGGGGAGCTGTTCAACCGCAAGGCCCTCTTCCGCGGCTCCACCTTCTACAACCAGCTAGACAAGATTGTCGAGGTTGTGGGCACGCCGAACGACGACGACATCAAGATGTTCTCCTCCGCCCAGGCCCGCGACTACCTGCACAACTCGCTCTCCAACTGCAGGAAGCGGCCCTGGCAGGAGGTGGTGCAGACGTCCGACGGGAACGCCCTCGACCTCCTCGCCCGCATGCTAGAGTTCAACCCGGCGAAGCGCATCACGGCGGAGCAGGCGCTGCAGCATCCCTACTTCGCCTCCCTGTACGACCCGCTCGACCTCACGGAGGCCCGCAGCGAGCCGTTCCACTTCCGTGAAGTCAACGACATACCCACAATGCACGAGATGTTCCTTGAGGAGGTGCGGCGCTTCAACACACTGCGGGAGCGGCGGGACCTCATCGCCCAGCAGCGGGCGGCGGCGGCGGCGGCGGCGACGCTCGCGAGCACGGAGAACGTCCTCGGCGCGGATCACATGCTCCGCACGCACAGTATGATGGAGGTGGCGGAGATGGTGCAGAAGCCGTAGCGGCGGCAGGGAACGAAAAGGCCGGAGAGGAGAAATCGGGGCGAGGGCGCGCCGCCCACTGAGGCACGACACACACACACACACACACACGCAGACGTGGCGGCGGCAGGAGTCGAGGCGGCACGCACACACAACAAAAGATGCAACAAATTGAACAAAAAAAAAGTGTGCGGGGGGCGGTGAAGCAAAGACGAGGCGACGCGGGCAAAAAGGAGAGGAGGCGGCGGAAGGGAGGCCACGAGGAGCGAAAAGGTGGAGGGGGCACGGCGTTGATGTAAAGAGGCGCAAAAATTGACTGACAAAAGAAGCAAAAGCTGCGGGGCGTGGGATCGGCAGGTGCTTGAGAAATGAATCTCAAACACACAAACTTCTACGTGTATTGAAGAGGAAGTGAAAAAAAGGAATTTAAAAAAAAACTGAATTTACGTACACACACACACACATATATATATATATGCATGTATATACATTATATACACATACACACGTATATATATGTTGCCCGGCCAAATGTATGCAAATACAAGGGGAGAAATTGTGCGGTGTATCGATTGTGCGCCACGCTACACTCCGCGTGTGTGGCAGGCAGGCAGGCGTGGGGCGGGGTGCTGGCGTTGTAATTGCCGTCTGGTGGTAGAAGGCGGGGCAATTCGAAGGAAAAGACGAAAAAAAAAAAGGAATTTGACGAATCAGCAGGGGGAGGGGGAAATTGCGAATGTTCGCACCGGCACCACACCAAGGCGATGATCCTTGCGACGGTGCAGGCCGCCTTGCGAATTCGTGGGTGGAGCACGGCAGCAATGCAAGGGACCGAGCGGGCAACAGCGAAAGGACGGCCAATAAAAATAAGAACAAGCCATGAGAGGAAATAGGTGGGACTTTTTTTTTTATTCGTCTGAGGAACAGAGAAGGAAAGCGAGAGGGAGGGAGGGGAGAAGTGGCTTATTATTTTTTTTTTCTTCTGGATTGCTTATTCTTGCGCATTTGTGTGTGTGTGTATATATTGAGTGTTGTTGTTGTTTTTCTCTGCGTCTGAGCCGCCGCCCTCCCCCTCGCTTTGCACGCCCCGCGCGCAGATGGACACTTGCCAATGTATGCGCATGGGTCTCTGTCTTGAAACCCCCCTTCTTGTTTTTGTTTTCGGCGGTCGGGGGAGTTGTTGGTTTCACCGCCTTTGCAGGTCTTCGCTGCCGCGCGTGGGGGCGATGCGGTGCGTGGCCTGCCTCTTGCCTGGCTGCGGGGGCAGCGGCGGAAAAGTGGGCCAACTGTCGTTTGTATTTTAGTGCTCCCTTGTTTTTGTGTGTGTGTGTTTTTGTTTGTTTGTTTTTCTTGCTTGCTTGCTTGCTTGGTTGTTTTCTGGCCATCTCTCGTCCTCCCCTCCGCCGGCCGGTTCTCCCCTACTTCTCTGTCCACGCGTTTTATGACTACGTGCACGACGCCCATGAGGCTTCGCTTGGCTCGACTACCCGGCTGAGCTTGCCACCACACACACACACACGCACACACACACACACACGCCTCCTACCCTTCTTCTTGTGTGCAGGTGCCTGCTGTGGACAGTTTCTTCCTTTTTTTTTTGTTGCCTTCTTTCTTT